AAGTCAAAATCAAAATTTCAACATGATTTATTTAATGAAACACATATGTTAAAAATATAAAGTTTTATAAATTATGGCATCTTTAAAGCGACATTTTTAATTTAAAAAGGAACTCACCAAAAGTGCAAGCTCAACCACAGATTTAGAACGTTTATTTAGAGTAGAGGGTTGCGAAGTTGGGATGTGTGCAGGCTGAACAAGACTATGAGGGTGTGCCCAAGTGGATGAACTATTTTCTTCATTTTCTTCTTGCTCAACCATATGTATCGCCGATTGATCAAGTTGCCTAGACTGACTGATTTCGACTGTGTCAGGACGAGATTTAGAAGAACCCAGCAAAGTTTCTTTCCGAGGCAAAGTTTCCCCTTCTTTTTGCTCCCTAGTGTCAAATGGATAGCACTGCTCCGGACAATCGGAGGCAAGAAATGACGCTGAGAGAGCGGACTTTTGACGGCACGAAAATAGGCCCGAGGGTTTCGCAGAACAAGGTATGTGAGCAGGACATGGCCTACAAGCGTTTGGCATTTGTTCATTTAGAGGCTGATAGTGTTGCTGGGTTTGGTCATGGAGATAAGGTTTATCAGTGTTATTGTGAAGAGAATCTAAATTTGCCTGACAGACTGACTGCATCTGCATAACGAAGCCAGTAGATTGGTCGAGGCTCTGAATGAGACTGTGAGAATGGGGCTGTCGAGCCTCCTCTCTTGGAAGTGAAATAGAAGAGAGGGATTCGGGGCAGATTGATGAAGCAGCTACTGGCTTAGCCTGGTCATAGTGACAGTAAGTGTATTCTTCTGCACCCTCATTGGCCCCAACCACATGATCAAAAGTTCCATCTGCTTTGCCCCCAAATGCACCCTCCGCCTGAGAAACTAAAGGGCTTGTAGACCGGGCGGGACTAAATGTGTGATAAAACTTAGGTGGCTGATCAGAGAGGCCTTGACTGCATTGTGAGGTGAGGTTAGTTTGCTTGCCATCAGTGCCCAAAATGTCGCCAGAAATGCAGGTAGATTTATTGCTAGATCTCAGATTAGAGTGACCGGAGTTTGATACAGCGGCAGCAACATGGCCAAGACCAAGATTTCGAGCAATCTGTAAGAAATTAAAAATATAAAAGAACAAGAAGGAATACTCGAGTTACGCATACAGGAGTGATTACAAAATATGGGGGCCATTAAGCGAAGATAAAAATACGGCTACACGCCTGCAGATAAAGTAAGATTATTTATGTATAGCCTTACATCTGTTTTCTCTCTAGATTAATTCTAATGTGATTCTTTAATATCATTCTTCTTTCTTGTGATTATACGCGTTATGCCTGCGTATAATCGACGATATGCAGATGGTGTGGCCTTAAATACGGTCGCTGTTTCAATTAATTGTATAAAAGTGGTTTCACCTCGTTTTCGCAACTTAGTCCTATTTTAAGAGATATCTAGATGAAAAACAATGTGTTAGGACTCTATTGCCCACTGGTGTAGAAATTATGCTGAAAAATTCTGATATAATTTGGCCCTTTCAGTCTGCAATCTGCTTCATCCATATTCTATCAGTCTCACTCTTGTCTTTTAAGATCCGTGCCTCATGTATCCAGTTTAGTGATTACACTGGATAACTACCAAATCTGGGTACTACTCGAGACGTTATTTCCTATTATCTGCCTCAAACGCATACTCAAGCCTAACTGAATAGGCCCTCAAAGCCTGGAATATTAAGCTGGATGAAAGGCTAACTTAACGCTCTGTTTTAATTTGAGGTGTTAAAGTTATAATCAGACTCCTGGCTTATCAGGCCTCCTCTAACTAGGCATTTATTCTCGCCTCTCCAACCGATAGTCAACAGCTTTGACAAAAATAGCATGGCATTTTAATGTTTTGCAACTCTGTCGTTGGTAAAGTAACTCAGTATGAATACTCTAAAATTCACGGGGAATCTCTAACATCAATGAATACGTTGAATTTAAGGATTAGAAAAGTTGGAAGATAAATTTGACGGAAACTAATTCTGGTGTTAGCTAGACCTTGTTATCGCAACTTGGTCGGAGCGAGAGAAGTACCTTTTGGAACATAGTCCTGTGTCCTCTACCATACTATTGATGATGATCTCCAGCATCGAACCGGTGACTTGGTACATTCCCAAATGTTTCACCTGAATAGTAGTCGTCATCGTCAGTGAAAGACGCCATCCTTAGTGAAGAGCTAAAACTTATTAGTGGCAAATACAGGCAATCTATCAGACCAATTATCCGTACAATCGTTATGGCATGAAGAGGATTGCCCTTACTTATCACTTCGATAAGTTGTGACTCTGTGATAAGGAGTGGGCCTTTCAGTGACGCTGCCGGCGAAACATCTGAGAAGATACAGAGTCAAAAGTCCAATGCTGGAAATCATAATGAATACTAACCAAGATAGATGCAAGATTGAAAAGCAACGATCAAGTAGCTCTACAAGCCAACAAAAGAGGTGCCACAGCGTTGATGAACAGGAAGGAATAGACAGGGAAAATGTAAAATATTCTCCACTGATAAGAAAAGACCTAGCAATACAAATCAAACGGCCACTATAAAGAATGGTGAAGGAAATGAATATGAACAGAGGATTCGCAAATACATAATGAATTTACTCCTACAAAAGGATGCAAGAGCCACAGTAGAATAGGTTTTGCCGAAAGTACACAAAGAATGGAAACCATTGAAGCTGATCGTCAACAACTAACATGGAGCAACACATAAGCTAGCAAAATGTATTTGCCTGAAAATAAAGAAGGTTAATGATAGATTACCGAATACAGAGAAAAATTTAAACGAATTGTATCAAAGAATCAAAGGTACCAGTTTGGAGGGAAGGGAACTATTGGTGAACTTTGATGCACATTTAGTGTACAAAATCTCAGGAGAAAAAGCGTTTACAGCACTACTGGAGATCTTGAAAAAAGAAGATGGCCTCCTGAAGACGTAACGAATTTGAAAATTGTGTCCAGCCCTATTAATCAGCCTAGCAATAAGGACTATTTATTTTACATTCAACGGCCGCATCTATGAGCAAATATTTGGTCTATTGATTGTTTGACTTCGTCTTGGCAAGTTGATCGGAGCAAAAGCGAGACCATACCTAGTCCTGCGTCTTCGTCAGTATTCATGATTTCCAGCATCCGACTGTAAACTCTGTACATTTTCAAATGTTTCATCAAGATTTTCAGTGAGGCGCCATCCTTAATGCAGTTCCAGCTTATCAAAATGACGATTTAAGGCAATGCCCTTAACCATTTTCCCATTCTACCATTGTGACATAACTCTTCCCACATATTTTTTGTCATAGCTTCTAGCGTTGTTCTTCTTCCCCACTTATTGCCTTCGTTTGTGACTGATAAGTTGTAACAATTTGCTTAAGATGGCGTCTCTCACTGATGATCTCAAAGAAATGTCTGTGGTCCAATGTTGGAAATAACCATCAAAAGTATAGCAGAGGACGTAAGACTAGGCACGTTCCACAAGGTCTATCTGTCGCTCCGACTAAGTTGTGAAAATGGGATCAAACCAAGAGAGCTGGAAGAGATTGCGACCAAATAAATGGCTAGACCATGCTGGTCTTTATATCTACGAAAACCTCTTATGCTTGCATGCTAAGCATTAGTAGAGGGAGAGGGTGCTTGTCACCAAAAAGTCGTGAATGTCCGGCTCAGTGATGGCTCTATCTCTCTTGAATAACTGGTCTTAGATGAATCTCTCGTTATCTCACAGATTCATTTATTTCGAGTGAATGTATATAAAGAATTAATTCGTAGGTCGATCTCATCAGAAGACGATAATGGATCATTTAGTTTTAATGTCAAGTTCATGATGACGCAGTTCTCGAGTCAAAGTATGGCTGAGCATAATGTTGCCTATAGATGCTATTGGATTCAGCTAGCAGAGGTAGCGAAACACAGTAGAAATTGAAATGATCTCGAACTATTCATTTTGCTATAAGAAGGCTAAGCGAAACCTTAACTTATTAATTTAAATGAGTTCACTTCGAGTAGCGTGTGATAAAAGGACTCGAAGGTCGATCCCATCAAAATAAATAGAAATGAGCTCATCAATGGCAATATATATGCCAAAGTAATATAAATGTAAGAAAATATAATACAAAATAGAAAATCGATTTATGTATGCATGGAGAACAAAGAAGGAATATTTAAAAAAATTGAACATTACAAAAATTATCTTGGGGTGAATCAAAACGTATTTTCAAAATATTTTACCGTGAGTTGAACCTCGTGACCCGCTGCTGCTACCAAGCGTGCTGCAGTCTCCTGTGATAAGCCTGTTACACTTCTTCCATCAACTGCCAAAATCCGGTCTCCGGGGCTTAGAGGAGGGTGAATTTTGCAAAGCCTAGTAGCATGAGAGCTGATATTGCTCCTGTGCGGGATAGTCTTATGAAAGGCTTGACTGCTAGAGTCGCCAACATCGTCTACGCTCATGCTGCTGCAATAATCTATTCCATCTCCATCGGACCCACCAAAGATATCTAGAGCTGGCATTCTACGTGCCTGACTAGCTCCACTGCCCGGCACTACAGCCTTGATGTATATTCCTAGGTCACGGCCGTCTTCAGACTAAGGCCAAGAGACAGAGCATGGAAAAAATAAAGAAGTGAAAAAGCACTCATTTTCTAATCTATTACGTTTAAATGAAACTTTTTCTGAATTGCAAAATATCCAGTATATATATATATATATATACTCGTTATCAAAGCAAAATTCGAATGAATATGTTAATCACTTTGGAGTTGAATATTGTACTAATCAAGTGTCTCAAAATTAA